ACACACTATCCTCTTGAGACTGTTCCCATAGTGATGTGCTAGTTCAGAACTAGCAATAATCCAAAGGGTGTAGAACCTGGGCCATGGGACTGGGGCGTTGAAGCATGTTTCATTATTTTCTGTGACTAATGGCCTGCACAAATGACCGAAACATAAACTGTGACACTCCCGGCGATTTGATAACCCACACATGCTTGCCTTTACATCATTTCACCTTACAAATGCTCCATACCTAGCGTTACACTGTGACATGTGTGTTGACAAACACATACCCCTCCCACCTTGTAGACTTGAAAGAAGCAATCAGCTGCTTCCTTAAATGTGGGTCAGGGTCTTGTTTACTGACAGGCTGAAAGTGTGAAGCTGATAGCGAGGTATTATCTCTAACAGCCTAAGGAGGCTTCAATGATTTTAAACAATGCAATGGGGATAGCATGTCCTTCATTTTCACTAACACATGATATTGAGTAGATTCCACAGATTGTTTATGCAGTATCAGTGAACGTGAGTTTGCTTCTCTTTGGAATACAGAGCTGCGTGCACTTTAGTCAAGGTTTAATTAATACACCTCCAATTATTTCACTACCTGGGACCTTGATGGACTTGCTTTTATTGGGCTGGCCGTAGATCAATGCAGCACATGCACAGGCACAGGCACAGGCACAGGCACAGGCACAGGCACAGGCACAGGCACAGGCACAGGCACAGGCACATGCTAAAATGTAATGGGCTTGAGGAATGCACATGAGCAATGTTTTAATGCACTTGAAGATTATGAAGTAAAGCTTGTGAGGTGGATTAGGGATCTAGGAGTGTCTGACAGATGTTTTATGATTGTATTTACTGTTCGACCAAATATAGCTTTCCAGGGACTCAGAATTATTCCTCATCATTACAGGCAAGTAATACAATGAACTGGTGATCTACAAATTATTTTAAAATGTAAAATAATTTGTGCTGCAATCAACATTTTCTGTATTTTATTTAGAAGAAAAAACTGGTGAAATTGCCCCTTATTGGTTAGGATTGGTTCATTTTTAATGCTGTTTTCAGATAAACAGCCAATGACAAAAGTGTGATTTTATCGTATCTTTATCATCAAGTGGTCAGTGTGGTGTGATCAGGTGTGACTTTCTTCCATTAGCAAACGGAAAACTGTGGAATGAATGGCATGAGGAACGTGGGTGGGGAGCAAAACAAGTAAACAAGGATGTCCTTGACTCGGCATTGTGTCAGAGTGCCAGCAACACTCCTCAATATCAACACATGACAAGAGCGGCCCATAGCCTGTACGAGGCAGCATATGGGCCAATCCTCTCTCTGAGGCAAACTCTCATACCCACCCATGTTTCACTACCTCACGTGTCTTGGACTGAGGGGAAGGGCTTATGGACACACTAGAATGTAGGATGTCAAGTTGGTAGAATAACATTGTTGTGATTTCCCCCACACAGGAATTTCAAGGTGCTCCTTTCCTTACTGAACCCATGTTACCCCTTATTAACAGCTGTACTGTACTGACAGTGCACTGTGTATTCCAGGGGTGGAAGGAGCATTTAAAAAAATAATAAACTAATCATTTAAAATCCATGCATAGACTGTAGACATCCAATAACCTTGCCTATGATACATGGCAGTATATCTGGTTACCATTTAGTTGCCATACTTGAAATATTTTCTCTTGAAGAACCATAAACCACTGATTAAAACCAATTCAGATAAAATAAATTTCACCTTAGTATACATTTCTTTTTGAGTGCGAAATGGACCCATTGTTGCCCCCCGTCATTCTTTGTGGAAGAACAGTATCTACAGCTACGGTTCTCACCAACTGTGCCAGTAACAGGGTGTTTACCATGAGCCCATTACAGCTTGACACTCCATAATGAGGCAAACAAAGGCAAAAGAAGCTTACTTGGACAAGGAACACTCAAGTGGCTTCATCAGAGGTGTGCTTAATTTAATGTTTGGTTCTACAAGACGAAACACATATTTTTTGTTTGTACTAATGCAAATGTAGCACATTGGTAAAAAAAATGAATCTGATCCAACCTCTTCTTTTCCATTGCTTTACCAATGAAAGATCAAAAAACTCTTATTCACACATTTTAAATCATTTTTTAATATTTTATGTATGGGCCTTTTCACAGCGGACATTTTGATTCATCACAGTAGAGAAGGTACAGGTATTTGACAATGCCTCCATTGTATTAAAATGTCCCAGTGAAAGTAACAGTCACTGAGCCAGGGTGCACAGTACCAGCCAGGAACCTGAAATTAAAACAGCTAAACTGAATGCTGCCACAATTAATTTCACTATTTACACCTTTGCTTGTATAAAAAAAAAATATCCATGAAAAAGGCACGTGCTCTGGCACTAAAACTAAGTTGAAGGTGATAGTCGGAGCTTTACAGTTTTACAATGACATTGTAACAAATGGTATCATCAGTAAAAGTGTCAGATCGGCTGTGTTAGATTGGTGCACCCAAAATAAGTGTACCCTATTAAAAAGAAGAAAACATTTCTGTAAGTGCTGCTGCTTTTGTACACTGCTGGATATCTAGAGACCCCTGCTGTATCTCTGGTGGATGGGGTTTACAATGGCTCCTGTGTTTATAGAAGGCCACACATTATACAATGTGCAAGGAGGAGTTTGTTGGACATTGCATCACTGATTCACTGCTCTGTTTCATAGCTGGATTGAGGGCCCTGTGGCACAGCCTAGATCTATTGTCCTTGAGCACGGACCCATAACATAAGAGGGGAAACCATGCTAAGCTGACATAACACTGACGCATCAGTAAGGCCATGGTGACTGGCTAGAAAGTCGGCAACTCATACACATGAACACACACTTTCTTGTATCCCTCATACTGTATATAGTGGGATTTGTGGAGTCACGGTTTCTCCTGGTGAAGAGTTCAATGTCTTATTTCAGTTTCAAGATTTGTAGGACTATGATACCCATAGTGGAAATATGCTTTTTATGTGGTGAAAGTATCTAAGAAAAAGAGTTAGAATTCAATCTTTGGACTTTATAGAGTTTAGAGCACACTCACAGAAACACACACGTTGATCCCCAACCCCAGTGTTGAGGCCCATTCTTCACTTTTTGTAATCACACAAGTAAAGCCTTTTCACGGTAAAACGACACCGCCATGGATTTCTTTCCCGAAAATGTACTGGCATGATTAAGTCAGTATTGTTCTGTTGATCCTGGGATCAGAACGTCTGGGAAACCCAGAATGTCTGACACAGACACACACACATTACTGTAAACACACTATCTCCCGTTGCTTTTTTTGGTTCTCATTCTCTTATACCTGTGAGACCGGTGAAAATTGAAGAGTGGGTCCCCTGTTCAAGTGCTGATCATTTAATCCCCTCCCTGCTTGGGTTTGAGATCCTTTCTTCCCATTTGTAATCCCAGTGCAGAACTGGAACATCAGAGATTAGTATGTGATTAGACTGTGCCTGTCTCAGTGACCCGAGCTTGCCGACAGATCCAAAGCTTTGTCTGTTCTGGCACACCAGTCAGAATCATTAGGTAATTTACCACTCACAATTAAGTTTCCAGTTTGGTCTGAAACTTTACTTTATACTGAATCAATGTTTTTGTATATAACGCACAACCTCCACTTAGGAATGTTTGTCCATTGATATTCTATTATACAAAAAATATTTAATAATGTAAAACTATTATTGAACCTGGCTCAACTCTTGCCACAGCACAATAAAACATAATTGGCAATTAAGTGTATTGGTGAAATGTACGCAGGTGCACATTCTAGTAGAGTACCAATACAGTATGTATAATTGTGTCTACTGTCTGATGATGCATTTTAGTAAATAGGACATTCTTCAAGAGGGAGCACTGAGATCCATTTCTGGGTCATAAGCATAGACTGTATATATAAAGGTCATAAGCCAGAGAATCAAGGAGAATAGGAGAATAAGAAGAGCACATTGTCCCATCAACTTCTGTTGAATTGTTGACTTTACACCCCAAACTGTAAACAATTGCACTTATTTATTGTGTTATGAAATGTCAATCAATGAAGGATCAATCGTTGCTTTCGCTGTAGCTAAAAAGGTAATTTTATTTTGTTATGTCATCTCAAATGTAAAGTATTTTGGTTGTGGTCAGGGAAAGGCAGTGAGCCAAACAACCTACGTGTAAGCATACAGTACATAGTATAGCAAAGCAAACATCTTTTTTGGGTGAGTAGCTTTCACTGGAATTGTAAACCGAATGAATGAATGTATTATTCCATAATAAGACGAATAATAAAGGTATTCTGACCTGTAATTACATTTGAACCCTTATGCAACCCAATTGTGTTTTTTAATGCAATCCTATTGGTCCGAACACGCTTATTGTCGTAACGATTTAATGTCCAATCTCGCAAATAATCTTGATTCTCAGCATTTGATGGATTATAATAATAAATTGTTTTTGTTTCAACTCTTAATTGATCAACTCTGCCTGAATGATATCTTCAGTTTAAAGTAATTAACATTCCATCCCATATCATGTAAAAAGGGTAGCATATGCCACCTAAAAAACACATTTTGCCCCCCCACCCTTCTTATTGATGAGACATTAAAACGTCAATCGAAAATGTACAATGGAAAGGAAATGGCTTGTTTGCTGTTTCGATTTCCTTGCCATTTTACATTCCTTGCTGCAGTTTGCTTCCGCGGATATTTGATTTAGCAAGAAAAAGATTACACTTAAAAATGCAACATGCACCCTGTCTCCAAATAACAAGAAAAATGTAACTCGCTATTACAGATATACCCTCAGGATTGTGTTTTTAGGTCTGGTGCTTTTCCTGGTCTCCCCTCCCCCCTGTTTTCTCTCCTTCCTCTTTGTTTGCTCGTTCTGCTTGATCCTCTTCTATGTGCCTTGTCTCCTCCCAGCGACAGCACCGGCTTTGTGATTGGTCAGCTGAGAGGAGAGGAGGAGCTTCCCTGTTGCCCTTGCTGTTTTTCAAGCTCTCGGATCAGCCCTGTCGTCAGTTTCGGTAACAACCAGACGAGGGAAACATACGTCGTTTCGAACACGTTTTAAGCAGCCTTAAAACGGCATAAATAGCGCTTTATTACACGTACATTCAAGGAGATCATCCAACCAAGCGAAGGAGTTTTATAATTTGTCCTCCGTAAAGGAACAGAAAGGGAATAAGGGATTTTGTCGGTGACCGTGTCCTTCCTGTCCAGCCCTTTGTTTTTTCACGGCTGCGCTTGAGCAGGCGACAATAGCGCCCCCGCGCGAGCCAACAGAGAAGAGCTCGAGGATAGGGAGCCAGACGAGAGCTCGAGCCTCCTGCCTCGCGAGCAGCGTGGGGCCCCACAGCTCACTTGTCCGATGCGGAGTGAGAATGAGTCCCGCTCTGGAAGCCCTCATGCAGGCGGACGGGACTCCTTACCCCGGGAAAGGGGTAATGCTTGAGCCCTTCGTGCACCAGGTAGGAGGCCACTCCTGTGTGCTGCGATTTGGGGAACAAACAATATGCAAGCCCCTCATCCCCCGGGAGCACCAGTTCTACAAGAGCCTCCCTCCAGAGATGAGGAAATTCACCCCTCAGTATAAAGGTAAGACCCCCCATCCCAAATCTGCAGGAAGTGTCAACCTAAATGATGTTGTTTTGATGCAAAGCTGCTACCTTTTATATATGTTTGTCAATTCTTGTTCTAACAGTGTGCAATAAATCTTTACTGAAAAAAATATTGCATTGCAAATATGTATTTGTTCAGATCGTAAGGATTTTATTTAGCTTTGGGTAAAGTCTCATTTAAATTGATTGCTGCAAGGGTTAAAAGAACACGGCGTACACAACACACTGCAATATGTTTTTTTATACCTATAGATAGACCCGTTTCTATTTTCAATTGTAACCCAATGTGACTGGATCAATGACACCACAGCATTTTTTCTAGATGAGGCTTTTATCTCAAACTGGGGGGGGGGGGGGTTCAAGTAGCATCCAGGCTGAGGGTCCCTACAAGTGTTTTGCGTCGGTTTTAAGATGGCTTCGGTTACAAGATGAGATGAATTCCTTCCACAGGGATCAAAAATAAATGGGGCAGATCACTTGAGTATTTTTCCACCAACATCATACAAACATGGTCACACTGTGTCTTGCTGTTCTACCAACAGACATTGCCAACTGTATCATTAGTACATGCTATACAGATAAGGGCCTGTATGACGGAGTTGGGACACACACTGGTTCCTGACTTCTTAATTCAGAATGGATCTCAGAAAATACCCAGGGAAGATGAGGAGGGTAAATAGTAGAGGGAAAAAAGCTATTCTGACTCCTGGGGCCTCTGACCCTATTACATTCACACAGTAATAATGGGAAGAGTTTTTGCTTTGGTTTTTAAAGAACATAGTCATTTCTGGTGTTTTTTTATTTTTATAGATATAATCATTAAAAGGCCATTTCAGGGACACCTGACATTGGCCTGTTATCATGAACAAAACACACTTTAATGAAACATTAAAATATTGTAAAATTGTCTGCATCTAGTGTTAATCACTGTGTGACTGCAATATACAGACATGAATGCCAGCTTTGAACTTTTGAACCTAATGAAACAAGGGTCATTGGTAATGATTTGCTACTCTTTCAAAACCAGGGCTGTTATATTACGTCCACTGTATAGTATCAGACTATTAAAATCTTAATAGAGGCACCTATTACACTAATTTATGAGGCCTTTTACTGAAATGACTCATATGTTCCCACACTCACTGAGGTGGTGTGATGACATTGCAGCTCTGGGTGGACGGTGTGAGGACACGCTCCGGGCCTCCTGCAGGATGGTGATGTCAGTCAGTGCGCATGACATTAGCCTCTGGCTGCGGAAGAGATGCGGATGCTGGGTCCTCAGGCCCGCTGTTTAACATGCACACGCACTCAGATGCATTTTTTTTGTTTGGTCAGGTTGTTCTAAATCACAATTTATTTTCTGTTATCGAGGGGCTGTTATTAAATATGAATACAACTTGTGTTGGGTGCTGCGGCCGTTTCTGCCACTATCTCTTCTATACCAGTTTCAGCCTCATCACTACTTCCTGTCTGTGGTTAATCTCTATTAGCCGCTGCAGCTGTGGTTTCTTTTCCAAGTGCGACACATCCCCCACCCCACACAGAGACTCATAACACACAAGCCCTTTTAGGGACTTTTACCAGGGGCGGGGGGACTACCAGTGGGACTTTTCTTGGATCGTGTAATAAATAAGTATTGTCACTAATGTGTCTCTCTGATCATTAAGAAAAATAAATGTTTTTTTTAACTGTGTTTCTGAAACTGTGGTTGATATTCACCTCAAAAAATCTGGGGAAAAAATGCAATTGTTCTTGTTCTATTAAAGGCCTGCTTAATAAACTGTGTATACAGGCCAAATGTCACTGAATCATGGTATGAAACTGACTGTCTGTAATGGGGTTAAGCACCACTCTGTTTCTTCTTTAGGTGTTTGATGTATGTTTTTGTATGTGGAAAGTGGGAACTGTACTTCATTTTCTCATGTCATTGCAGACTGCTTGTAACTCTGTTTTATGAGTTATTGTGTGTGTGTGTTTCATGAGGATGTTTAGCCATTTTTAAATAAATGTCCTGCTCAGTTTGACACATTTCAGCCTCGTGTGGTATTTGTCTCCTTTCCTTAATCATGAGTCCTTCAAATACTGTTTGTGGTCTTACATTTGTTTCTCTCAAATTATCTGTCCGCCTTTCACTTCACATTTATTTCACATCTACAGTTACTTCCATTTACCATTAGTGTGTGCATGTGGAAATGTGAACAAGCAAATCACTGTTCGAGTGTGTCAACATCTTTGCAGAAATGTGTTTTTAAATGTGGATTCAAACATTTAATGATAAATGATTACCTAGTATTTTACCCATTATTACGAACTATTACCAAAATATAACATCATTTATATTGATATAAAATAGGTCAGTACTCATAACCACTCTGCTGCTTCATCTCACCTTCTCTCAGGTGTAGTGTCAGTCAGTTTTGAAGAGGATGAGGAAGGGAACCTGTGCCTCATCGCCTACCCCCTCCACAGTGAGTCAGGGGATCTGGAAAACAAAGATCCCACCACAGACAGTGAGCCTAAGAGCAAGATGCTGAAGTTGAGCAAAAAGAAGCAGTCCTCGTTGCTTTTGGAAAATGAAAACTACAGCAAAGACAGAACTCGACACAGCCGTAAAGAAGAAAAGATCATGAGGTGACGATGCTCCCCATACCACCTTAATGTTTTTTTTTTTTTTTAAACGACGACTTCATGATAAAGTTCTGTAACACTAAACATGTTTCCTTTGTTTTCCACTTTGCAGTTATAACCGGGAGGAGGTGCAGCAGCAGCAGCAGCAGCAGAAGGCAGAGGTTCTGTTCTTCAGCCTGGAAAAAGGCAACGTGGTGCCACAGATCAAACACAACCCCTGGAGTCTTAAATGCCACCAGCAGCACTTACAGAGGATGAAGGACAATGCAAAACATCGCAACCAATACAGTATCCTTTCATGAATGAACATCTGCTACTGGGTGTCTCCAATGTGCAGTAAAATAGACTGATGAGTCTTTGATGTTAATATAAGCTTATATATTCTGAGAGTTTATGGGACTATTGTTGTTATTTGATCCTTGACCCCCTTTAACAGAATTTATTCTATTGGAAAACCTGACGTGGCGCTACACAGTACCATGTGTCTTAGATTTGAAGATGGGAACTCGCCAACATGGGGATGATGCATCAGAGGAGAAGAAAGCCAATCAGATTCGCAAGTGTCAGCAGAGCACATCCGCCTCTATTGGAGTGCGACTTTGTGGCATGCAGGTATGATACAGAAAAAACTCCTTTGCATTGAAGTTGTTTGTATTGGTTACATTTGGATCAGTAGTGCTCATGATTCTGTGTGTCTGCAGGTATACCAGTCCGACTCAGGCCAGCTGATGTTCATGAATAAGTACCACGGCCGTAAGTTGACCCTTGCAGGCTTCAAAGAGGCGCTCTACCAGTTCTTCCACAACGGGCGCCGCCTGCGGAGAGAGCTGCTGTCCCCGGTGCTGCGCAGACTCCGGGAAATGCAAGCTGCCCTCGAGGCCTGCGAGTCCTACCGCTTCTACTCCAGCTCCCTGCTCATCATCTACGACGGAGACCCGCACAGGACTCCTCCTAGACCTAGACACCGTGGTGGGGAAGAAGGTGACGAGGATGAACCCTCTGATGATGATGAAGAAGAGGAGGAGGTAGATGATGAGGAGGAAGGGGCTTTTGGCTTCCGTTGTTCCTCCTCAGCCGGGGGCAGTGCTAGTGTGGCGGGAGGGAGCAACAGCAGTCGCTCCTCCCACAGCACAGGAGAGTCCAGCAGCACCACGGCAGACGTGCGCATGATTGACTTTGCTCACACCACCTGCCGGCACTACGGAGAGGACAGTGTGGTGCATGAAGGCCAGGACAGTGGGTTCATTTTCGGCCTCCAGAACCTGATCACCATCATCTCCCAGCTGGAGGATCACAGTACTGACTGAGGCTGGACTGAAGCCAACATGGTCTTAATTTCAAGCATGGGAAGAGCTCATAGAGCTGAAACCTTGCTACTCTAAGGTGCATTGCCCTTACGCCTACTTGAGGGTCTGACCCCCCTTCTGCTTGGGGGGAACCTCATCTCGGGGACAGGGTAGAGTCTATGTGGCCCTTCCTGCGCTCTCCCTCACCTGCCAGAGGACAGGGCTGCCTGTGCCCTTACTTGCACTTTTCTCTTTCTGGGACTGGTCCTTTTCTTTCATGGTAGGAGAAATGTTGTATGAGGCGGCGGTCTCTAAACAAACACAGGGACTCCTGTAGCATTCTAGGACCCCCTCTCCTCCTCTGGTACAGATGAGTTTCTTTACTGTTAAGTTCTCTCTGAGAGAGAAAGAGCGAGGCAGAGAGAATTGAAGCTTAAGTGTAGTTCTAGGAACCTGACGTGGTGCTTTACCTGTGATATGACATACGTTTTTTTGTAAGAAGTTTGGACTGCAGGTCCCCCGCAGCACAGCACATTATTAGGGGGGAAGTTGACTGTATAAGCTGACCTTGGCTGGCTAGGTCAGCAGCCGTGTAGCAATTGACAACTTAAGCTTCGGAAAAGGACATTACGTGTTTATATTGGTGTCTCTTAAGACTTCTGCAACAAACAAGTGTCTACGGGCACTTGGATTTACACTTTTTGGTGGAAGAACAAGTTTATTTAGCTCTAGAAGAAGGGATTTGCCTTTTTTCAACATTTGCTTTCTTCCCTTTACTTTCTTTCCTATAATTTAAAGAACCTTTGAAAAAGTAATATCTTTGTTTTGTCACTGTCTTTGTTTTTGTCTGATTTTCTCCTTCATTCCTGAAACTTTGACTAAACAAAGAGAATATATTGATTTAAAAACACTAGCTACAAAGATTGAATAGAGGCTATTTATTTGAAAGGATTGTTTAAAAACTTAAAAAATGGAAAACGGCTACATTCCATATTACCACTCTATCTGTTATGATACCGACTTTGATTTATTTTGTTATTGCAGGAGCCGATGTGTCTCTTGTATCTGTGTGTTAACAGTGTCTTAAAAAATAAAGGCATTCATTTGTGGTAAAAAATACTGTCTGTGTTGTGTTTGTTATAATAATATGCATTCACTGGACAAGAAGTGAAGTGGGGGATGGAAAATGAAATGTGAGCGGGATGCTGACACCAGATCTGGGATCCAGCTGGAGAGTTGTAACATAAGTATGCAAGCTGTGGAAACCATGAGTCAACTTTTTGAGTTGAATACTGTATGGAAAATAGTGACATTTTACCATTAATCCATCATCATTAACCTTACACAGGGTTAGGGTTATCTGCTAATGGGCACCACCTTGTCACACACACTGGAGGAGGGAGAATCGCATAGCAAAACACACATGACATAAGAGCCCAGGGTCATCACACAGTCCAACTGCAAAGAACACTTTAGCAAACCAAAGTGATGCATCGCTCTCACAACACAATGCGTACACTTATTAAGGTGTCATTGGAGGCAAAAATATGTTCTAATGCTCACTTTGTATATCTAACGGGTAAGTCTATGAAGACATAATGGATTTGGATCCACTAAAAAAACATTTTTGACCTATCCAGACCAATATAAACAGGTTGACATTTTAAGGCTATAAATCTTCCATAGATCCATGTATTACAATGGTCACTTGGCTCACTATGCACTAAAAAGAGGAAAAAGGGTATTGCTGGCTTTAGGTCGAGATACCAATCGATCTGCATTGATATGGAATCTGAAGCTTGAACTTCGAAATGAAGAGACAAAATCACTGTGGGCTTGTCTGGAAATGGTAATGCATTTGAGTTTGATGAACATGGTCTTAGGTCTTGTGTCAGTGACAATTCACAGCTGGGTGGAATATTTCCTAAGCAGACTGAATATAAAAAACATTTGGTTTAGAAGTGATGCAAGTAGCTGATGAAGGATCATGAAAACTGATTTACAAATGTGATTAGTAGCCTGTTTGTGCCTGGTGCTGATTGCTTCCTTTGTACGTTACTGCTATAATTTAGATAAGATCCATCCACAGGAAAGCCTCTGCGAGGAAAACAGGCTTTCAGGATTTTTTCTTTGTTTGCTCAAACATGCACGAGACAGCATAAATACAAATACTGCATACCTTGCGTTGCATGCTTCATCATAGCCACAGAGTTCATTATTAAGCTGTTTAGTTGAGGTTTTTGGCCGTGTTGCCACTGTACCGCGACATCGGAGACTGATCTGAAATAGGGCTCAGATTATAAACTTCAAACATTAAAAACTAAGCAGGAAGCTTTGAAAGGTGTTAGCCAGCAGCTAATTATGTACCTCAACCGAACTCCATAGTGAAATTCAGTCAGCCTAATCAGATTAACAGCACCGGAAAACCCCGTTGGCAAGTTTACAGGAACACTGGTTGGGTGGTAAGTATGTTTAGAATGCTGAGTTGACGCACCTGCTTAAATGAAGGTTGGAGTAGCAAATGACATTTCTAAAGGCTAGGTGATGTTGTAGATACAAGAGCAGATTCATCTCTGGACAGTTGCATGACGTGTGAAAGGGGTGGCTGTGTAAATATAAAGGCCTTCTGTTTGTTTCCTTGTGTGCAAATCGACTTGTGTGTCTATAACAAACAGGAGACATGAGCCAACAGGAGAAACACATCCACAGTTCACTCAAAGACTTCAGGTGACCCACAAACCCATACTCTGTGTGCAGTTTCATATGTTTATCTTAAAAGATGCTTCATGCAAAAAATATTTTAACAAATGCATTACCAACCACCTTTTTGTCTGGTTTTGAGCTTGAATGGATATCAAATCCAATTATGGCTGCATTAGTTTCTTGTTTTGATCTGTGTGAAGCTTTATGTTATGTCATATCTGTCGGCCTGTGCAGGATGTTAGAGGGTTTGGTGCAGTGAACATCATCAAAGGAAAGTGAAGGATGAGAAGGGAGATTATCATTTCCTCTTTTGAGATCTAAAAATAACCAAACCTCCCTCATCTGCTGCCTGCATCAAAACAAAAATAAGCTGAATGTGTTTTTCTCAAGCTTATATATATGGTTTAATTGATGAAGCCCATAAATGCTGATCAGCACATTTTTAGCCTTATTCTTTTGGATGAGTGGGCTCATTTGTCTGTGTTGTGTCTGTGTTGTATGTATATGTGGTAGTGCTGGTGTGGGACATAGGCAGTTGCCTTGGTGACTGCACTGCCTTTTAACAGTGATACATTACCATGGCAACAGCACTGGTATTTTTAGCATATCTTAACCACAAAATGCAGGGAGGGTGGGGGGCTTGGATTATTGCTGAAACAAAAATATATTTACATAACCTGAATGGATGGCTCTTAGAACAACATGTTATCTGATGTCATGATGTAATGGGGGAAACTAAATGTATGTGTTTATTTATTTGTTTTCACTATATTAGGTAGCATGCTTGTTTTTGAAGTCTCGCAAGCAAACAACATTTAGCACAGCGTTGCACTCACAGGCTTAGTATGAGATTGATCAAACTGGTTTTGCAAGGAACTAAATAACTAGTAAAGCCTGATTGCCCTCAATAGCACACGTGAGTGTGAGTTATGACGTGAGGGAAGGTGTGATAAATCGTACTCCAATGACAACACACAAATGCAACGTGGAGGTACACATGCAGCATTGTGTGGTAATTCTGCACGGAGGCCTGTAGTGAAACATGATGGTGTCTGACCACATGGAATGACAGACGTCACAGATCAAAGTTTATGGGTTTCTTATCTATGTTCTTGCAACCCAAGCTTCTCGGCCTGATAGCTTTAAAAGGCATACTGTTACAGCCATGATCTCATGCAATTCAGCAAAACAGATGTATGCATGTGAGCTCAAAATAACCAAAAGATGCAGAGACATAGAAGGACATTAAGTTATTGCTAATGTACTATACTCAAAGTTTGGAAATGTTTAACTTTCAAGGATTGTTGAAATATAGACCAGAAGAAGAAAAAAATGTGTTACATACTGAAATAAATATTTGTGAAAGAGGTGATGAATTATTTAAACTAGAGAATGCAATTCCTGAAGAAATTGCTAGTGGGAATGCTTTATGCTGAAAAGCTGACGCTAAACTGCTATGCTGAAATGTAATGTGTAAGAAGAAAATGAAGAATTTAGATTGAAATTATACATGAACACTGGGGGCTTGAATGTGTGATGAGAGAAGAAAAGAAAGTAAAAAGGCTTGGAAAAGCAGCAGAATATTTGAACTGCAAACTTTTGAACTAACTTGATGGCGAATGATCTATCGCCATGCCAACGGCATTTGATGACATCCCATAATACGCTTAGATGTGTTGATGGCTGCATCGTTACCAAACCTGTGAAGTTTTGGAGCATTTTCACTGAAGTTATGAGAAAACCGCCACCGTTTTATGGCGAGGGATGCGTTTCCATGGAAACGGCATATGGTGAGATGTCAGATTTGACTTAGAGCTGTTGAGGCATGGAGAGGTGATATACAGGTGAAGATTGTGGGACGACTGGACCGTGTCCATTGGAGCTACAGCGACATGGTGTTTTATGGCGAGGGATGTGTTTCCATGGCAACAGCCTATGGTGAGATCTCAGATTTGGTGTAAAGCTGTTGAGGCATGGACCGGTGATATACAAGCGAAGTTTGGGGGACGATCGGACCGTGTCCATTGGAGTTACAGCGACATCGTGTTTTATGGCGAGGGATGCGTTGGAAAATGGAAACGGCATATGATGACACCCCATAATTGACGTAGAGCTGTGTTAACCATTATCTGAAGTCTGCTGCTCTGAGCATGTCAGTTGGAGTTATGACATCATCGTGTTCCATGACACAGGTGTTTATATTTGAGCTAACGACGTGTCCAGAGATCAAAGGTTTCCATGGTGATCAGTGAGAGGAGAGCATTTTCATTGTTCTGAATAAGAGATAAACCTCTTACATGTGAACGTTTTGTTGAAGAACCGTAACAGATATCGGTGAAATTTCAAAGCGTGAAACATGTCAAGGAACTTGAGCATCTGAAGTGTAACTTTTGTGTACTTTCGGGTTAATAATGTGGCCTTTTTGGCAGATTAACTAAAGGTGTGCGGCTGCTGTGGTGGGGAAATATGAGGCTGAATTTACAATGGGGTTTAATGGAGACATGTTGAAAGTTTTTGTCACTTCATGCCCTCAGGAGGCATTTTGTTTAATTATTTTTGCTTAATTTTTTTTAATTCTTCAAGCTATGAGATGTTTTCCTACTTTTCTCATGAAAAATGATGTCTCAGGAATGTAGGGTTTGGGAATTATGGCAGGTTTAAAAGAAAATATGAAGGCAAAATTAAATCTGTCCTAGCTGTGACATCACGCACTCTAAATCTGAAGAAGGCCTCTTTACCAAGGTCTGAACAATGTTTAATATCTCTAAAAGTACGAATCAGCTTTAAAAGTTGTGTTACACGAATAATGTCAGAAAGATGTGTAACATTTTAAAGTTAGAATGAGGTCTCTGAGTGAAAGTATGAAGGAGCAGTTAGCAGTTGAAGTTGCATGAAGATTGTTGAAGTCTGAAGAATTTCTCCATTGACTTCCATGTTAAAAATGTGATGAATTATGGGATGTATCTCTGGAATTATGAAAGTTATGAATGAGAAAAGTAATAGCCATCGATTCCCGACCGAGCTGAACGTTTTGATGTTTGAACGGAGTTTCTGCGATGTGGAATGTGGGAGAAGAAGAGGTGCAAAATAACCCGGCGGAATAATAAATAATTTTGTGCGTAGCATAACAGATAGTTGGAATGCTGTATCAGCATTCCCACTAAAATATAGATATGAATGGTATAATAAAAAAGTATTATGCATGCATATAACCTTGTGTCATCTTCGCCTTTTAGGGATAGCAAAGGAGGCTTGATACTTTACATAAAAACAATTGTGAGTCAGAGATAGCCTTGACTTTAAATGGTACAAAATGTGTGTAACTACAACTTAATCTTTGGTTTGGAATGAGTTAGCCACACAATCTAACTATGTTCTTGATATCACCCCAGATCAAAAGTAGACAGCCAGTCAAC